CTAGTCCCGATCGTCGGGGAAACCACGTAAATCTCTGCGTCCCTTTCTTTTTCCGCGATCTTTAACTTGTTTACAAAAGGGAATCAACATTCTACCAAAAAAAAAAAAAAAGAGGGTATCAACGACAAGAGGTCTTCAAGAAAGCTCGATCGTCAATGGAAGAATAGCACTGTTGCCTCAGCCGATCCGCATTTGTATCTTTCCCACGACTCATCCCTATTCCCTACAAGAAATCTTACTCGTAAAATCGGGTTAATTGCATGGTTGGTCACTGAAATTACAAAAAACGTTCAAATTTAGTCACTCGAAATATTTAAATCCATTGGTGGTACTTCAGTTTACTGAAACCGTTCAAATTTGATCACTCTCCGTCCAACTCCATTAACTTTTGGTGATGTGGCAGTCAACTCTCAAAGTTGACCGTTAACTTAGTGACGTGGCAATTAAAAAATTATTAAAAATAAAAAAAATAAACTTTTATATTTTCCACCTCATTATTACATCCATTAAAAAAAAAAAAACTAATTTCTTATTACATTCATTAAAATACTGAATCGCTAAATGTCGCCCTAAGAATTGCTAAATGTCGCCCTAACTTACAATTCAATTTACCTATATACCCTTAATGAAAATTCAAAAAATAGGCCAACCAAACAGCCCTTCCACCCTCTCCCTCTGCAAAATCAACCCGCCGCCGGAGACCCCTTCATCCCGCCGCCGGAGACCCTCTGCATCCCTCCGCCGGCCCTCCAAGTTGCCGCCGCCCGCCAGTCGCCGCTCGTCCCGCCGCCGCCCGCCAATCGCCGCTCGTCCCGCCGCCCGCCTCGTCCCGTCGCCGCCCATCTCGCGCTCCATAGTCGCGCCGGAGAAGAAGAAGGTAAAAAAAAAAAAATTCAACCGCGGTTAGACCGACGGCCAACCGCGGTTAGACCGACGGTCAACGCGCGGTTGAACCAACGGCTGACCGCGGTCAAAGGGCGATTGACCAATGATCAAACCGCGTTTTCACCGCGGTCAGCCGTCGGTTCAACCGCGGTCGATTTTTTTTAATTTAATTCTGTTTTTTAATATTATGTGTTTAAATAAATGTTATTAATAATAAAAAATTAGTTATATGATATAAAAATTTAAAAAACGTTTTCGATAAATGTTAATTAATGATAACAAATTTAAAGAACATAATAAAAAAATTAAACATTTTAATAATCAAAATTTAAAAGTAATTCGTTTATCTACTTAATTATTAATAATTTTACCTTGATTAATTATTTACTTTTATGTAAATAATGATTACATAGAACGTAACGTAAATAATGATTACATGGAAATCTTAAATTAATTACTTTATGTACTCTATTATTAATAATCCATTATTAATAATTCAAACGAAAAAATCATAAATCATATAAAAAATAGAAAATTATTCAACGAAAAAAAAAAACCAAAAAAATGCCCAACCGCAAGTGACCTGCGGTTGGACCATGGCCGGACCGCAAATCACCTGCGGTTGTACCATGGGTGGACCGCAATTGACCTGCGGTTGGACCATGGCTGAACCGCAGGTGATTTGCGGTCCAGCCATGGTCCAACAGCAGGTCATTTGCGGTCCAGCCATGGTCCAACCGCAGGTCATTTGCGGTTCCTTTTTTTTCGTTTTTCATTTAATGTATTTACCTCGTCGGAGTCGCTACTCCGACGATATCGGCTTCAAAACGACGATGATGGATTTTTCTCTCCTTAGATAGTGTTTTTTTAGTCCAAGTGGTGTTTGTTTGATAAAGGGAAGGTAAGGGCCTGTTTACTTTCATTTCTGTTTTCTGTTTTTGAGAAAACAGATGTTGAAAACAGGTGAAAACAACATTTTGTCGTTTTCGAAAACAGCAGGAAGTTGCCACTTTCTGTTTTCATAGTTGGAAACGAATAGAAAACAGAATGAAAAGTAAACAAGTTTTCTCATTTCAGTTGCCAAATTTATCACATGAAAACAGAAAACAGGAAACGAAAATGAAAGTGAACAGGGCCTAAAGAAGCTAAGGGGGTAAAAGTGTAACTTTGATTCTTTTTAGGGCGACTTTTAACAATTTTAAGGGCAACCTTTAGCAACTCCCTTAAAATACTGGTCTCCCCTGTTTTCTACCCGGTGTTCAACCGAGATCGATTTCCCGGCGACGCTGAGGGACAGAGCAGCGATGCTCCAGCAACGGCCGAAACGATACTGCGCTCGCTGAGCGAGTTGTTAATGGACGATCGAGATCAGCAGTCGTCGTACTCTTCTTCCTCGTCGGAAGCAGACGAATTGGAAGGTGCGCCGGAAGGGAGCTACTGCGTCTGGACGCCAAAAATTATTTCCCCGTCGTCGGTTGCCGGAGCGTCGCCTTCTCCCGGTAGATGCGAGAAGAGCAATTCCACCGGATCTTCGGCCTCGACGACGAAGCGGCGGTGGAGGCTACGAGATTTGCTGCGTAGATCCAGCAGCGACGGGAAGGTGTGCTACTTGATGGTCCAGCCAAACACTGCTGGCGCCAGCAGTAGCGGCAGTAATAATAGCAACAGCAGCAATAATGAAATTAATTTGGGGAAAGGGGTGAGGAGAAATCGACAGCCGATCGGACGGCGAAACCGTCGCCGGCAAGAGCTGCGAAAATGGCGGCGTCGGCACACGAGGTGTTTTATACGAAGAGCAGAGCGTTGAAAGATGGGGATTGGCGGCGGTCGTATCTGCCCTACCGTCAGGAGCTTCTCGTCGGATTCTTCTCTAATGTGAACGGTTTACGTTGACTCCATTTTAGGGATTTTGTTATTGTTTTGGTTTCGAATTACAAGGAGGAGAATCCCAACAGATGGAGTCAAGCTTGGATCATGAGGACGGCTTCAACAAATTATCGTTTCCTTTTGTTTTCTGTTTCGTTTTTGGGATATTAATTTCGTACATGTAAATGATTAATTTTTTCTGTTAGTAGATGAATAAAAGGAGTAGTTAAGTACGGCACAAATTTATGGCGATGTAATGATATATATTTTTTCACTATATTAGCGATAATGAATTAACTTTTGGGATGAAGTTTAATTTTATATAATTCTTCTCAATAAAATTAGAGTTTTTCTAAATGTATTTAAAATAATTCATTTTTTTCTCAATAAAATTAGAGTTTTTATATATTAGCTACTGAAGGTGGGGCAAAACGCCACGTCGGACCGTCGGTGGCGGCTGTGGCGGAGGTTTCGTCCTGCATTTTAATGAATGTAATAAGAAATTAGGTTTTTTATTTTTTTATTTTTTAATGAATGTAATAATGAGGTGAAAAATATAAAAGTTTATTTTTTTATTTTTAATAATTTTTTAAATTGCCACGTCACTAAGTTAACGGTCAACTTTGAGAGTTGACTGCCACATTAGCAAAAGTTAACAGAGTTGGACGGAGAGTGACCAAACATGAACGGTTTCAGTAAACTGAAGTACCACAAGTGGATTTAAATATTTCGAGTGACCAAACTTGAACGTTTTTTGTAATTTCAGTGACCAACCATGCAATTAACCCAAGTAAAATAACTGGCACCGAATGTTCTTGCTCTAGATATCGCAATGGCTATTAGTATAACTGATTCTTTCTGCAGAAACACGTTGCAGATGAATGTCAACCAATCGAAGTGCATATAACTAGGGGTGTTCAAATGGTTACCATGGTTATTACCAAACCAAATAAGCCTAAATTTTATTAACCATGGAATGCAATATCATAACCAAACCGTCCAAACTAATACAACAACCAAATTAACCAAACTAAAGTTTAATCGGTTTGGTTAATTGGTTAACCAGATTAACCAATATAAAATCATATTATCATCAAGTGAGAAAATTTTCGGTTAATTTATCAATTCACAATTTATATAATGAATAAAACATAACAATCAACACATAGTTATAGTTGACCCTTAACATAAATACATGCAACTAAGACAATTATCTTACGGTTAGTATAGAAGTATTCACCTAACAAAAATTTATCACAATGGTATGGATTAATGAATTGTTGTGTTTGTTTGAATTGACTTAGTCTTTTTGCAATTTTCATAGGCTGAAAAGGACCTTGCTTTTAAATTTTCATCCAACATAATGTATGAGATTTATCTAAATTAGGCGGTCATATGTTGTGGTCTACACTCTACATATACGAATATACATTATAGGAACAATATCAAGCTTTATATTTTATGAGTCTAAAAGGATGAACGTTTAACTGAGTGGTTATTCAAAGTATTAAGTATGTGTATATATTAGATATATAACTAATTCTTTATCTGGTCAATTTGGTTTGGCTGGTTAGGAGTGTCTGAAACCAAACCAAACCACCTAAACCAAACAAGTTAACAACTTTAACCAAATCAAACCAATTATCCAAATTAACCAAACCAAATTATCCAAATAGAACTGATTAAAACGGTTACCATGGTAACCAAACCGTTTGAACACCCCTAGGGACAGCTCTCTCAAACCAGGGGATGTTTGCCGGTTTGAGCTCATCTCCGATGGCCAAATGAAAGTGACTATTCTGAGGGGTTAAGGACGATTGATTTGCTGGAGTTACTGTCAGTCTGGAATGGGAATTTGTTGTGCCTGTTACCTTGAGTGGTTATCGATGATTATGAGACTACTGGTTTTTAGTTTAGTGGATGAATGAGATGGTATAATTAATTAATTAATATATAAATAGCGCCTATTTTGTATAAGGGGTTCAGTGGGATATTTGAAGGTACACGGTAAGTTCCATGTGACTTTACTGGTTACTTTGGTTAATTTGGTTTGACTGGTTAAGAGTATCTGAAACCAAACCAAACCACCTAAACCAAACAAGCTAAAAACTTTAACCAAACCAAACCAATTATCCAAATTAACCAAACCAAATTATCCAAATAGTACCGGTTAAAACGGTTACCATGGTAACCAAACCGTTTGAACACCCCTACATATAACATTACCAGAAACATCCCCCAACATCAACATCCTAGAATTAATGACGTGGTCAGAATCTAAATGGAGTCCTTACACAGCCTACCATACATTGATACTCAATCTAACAGATGTTTCAAACTTTCCAATTCACAAGCATCATTCATCTAAAATGTGAACTTGGAGCACATCTTCCATGGCAGTGCCCACAAATATACATGTGTCACCAGCTTTCAGAGAGTTATCACGCACAAATCGGCACCACCCTTCACAAATAGTAGGAACACCACGGCGTGACATAATTTCCACGAACCATGTCTCTTTCTCCAAGTTTAAGCTCCACCATTTTCCCATTCCAGTTGGTGATGTACCTCAGAACAAACCCTCCATGCATCTTCTGCAAAAGAGAAAAAAAAACATCATCTTCAGTTGTTTGCACTAGATGAATCAATAGAACCAAGCATTGTTTGCTTGCGGCAACCTACCAGGCCAGTGTTTTCTGCATATTTTGTGACACTGACTTGGAGAAAATCAGGCCGTGAAGTAAACCCTTCTACAGGTTGAATTGTGGGTCTATGACGCCTTGAACTGGAAGGTCTGTTAGAAGCTGACTCATAGATCAAGTATACATTCAGGAAACTCGAATTTCACACATAAGAAAAGCACATTCTCAGTTCTCTAGTGCTTGGAAAGTAAGATTTTGTACCTTTTCTTGCTCAGTCATGGATGGAATGTGGGATGTTTCGGCATTATCCCTTCCGAAAGGCCTTACAAATACCTCCATTTTTCCACGGACCTTCCTGGTTCACTTTGCTGTTCTCTCCACCATTGGCTGTACTCCTCTTCCCTGCGGTAATCAATGCAAAAATGATCAAATTTGTGTTCCTTCCTTCCATGTTTATGTGCCGAACCAACACTCACCAGCACTCATGAACACATTTTGCGCTGCATTCTCTACAGAGAGCGGTTGCTCTGGCCGCTTCGCACCACTTCCATTGTTGCTGTTTATCTCCTTCACAAACAGTGAGTCTGCCAAACCCAACCGAAATGAAACTATGTAAACCCAAAACATTAAGGTTCAAGAACAACAAGGGGTTTGTTATGATTAATACGAGAATAAAAAAATTGAAATGACAATCGACCTAATTCCACATAGCTTGCATCTACATAATCTTCTTCCTCTGGAGACTCCGTAAAGTCCTGGTTTCCATTAGTTTCGACATTTTGACTGCTGATATGTGTCTTCGCAATTGGCTTGTCTGTATAATAATACATTCATGCAACTCAAACTTCATACATCTCTGTAAACCTTAGAAAGCAAATCTGCATAGTTCAAACCTCCGCTACCTCTGCCCCTCCTTGAAGTTTCCCAGTTTGCTTTCCTTTTCCCTCCATCGTCATTAGGTCTTCTCTTTCCTGTAGACATTGATGAAAAAGGATGATCAAAATTGAGCTCTTCCTTCCCTGTTTATGTGCTGAACCAACAGTCACTAGCACTTGTGCACTCATTGAGCTTGGCATTTTCACCACACTGCAGATGTTCCTGCTGTCTTCCACCAACTCCGTTATTGTTGCTTCTGTTCATGTCCTGAACCAGAGAAGTGCCTGCAAAAGTCAACAAAAGCCAAACCATAATAACCTAAAAGAACAAAAGAGATTCCAAAGAATAAGGGACTTCTGTTACGATAAGCAACCTAAGAACTCCAAAGAGTCTATATTGACTGTCTTTTCTACTTCCTCGGCCTCCGGAAACTCCTGGTTTCCATTGGATCAAACGTTGACAAACCTAGAAGCTGGAAACTCCAAGTCCAGGCCATTTGCACCAAGCATCACAAGCTTGAACCGGGAGTAGCTCTTGTATTCAAACACAAGATAGTGGCCTTTCCTGAGAGAATACTGATATGCAAACTTTTGCCAACCATTCCTCAGCCAAAACCCGCTAGTATCCTCATAAAGCTCCACCTCTAACTCTAGCGGATCTCCAACAGTTGGTTCCAATACTACTGGGTTGGTCAGATTTACCCTCCCACATTTATTGACAAACTCTGGTGGAATCAGCTGATACATAAAAGAACAGGTAAAGTTTGGCAGTGAGTTAACAAGGTTTACAAAACCCTAAGTGGAATCTTGAACATGAAAAAGGACATAACTTTAAATGGCTTACCAGTTTCTTCAGTGCCACTGTCTCCTCAGTGACATGCTTCAAGAAATGAGCCATGTTTGATGTTGGTTTTCAGGCAGCAAGATATCTCAAACTCCAGAGGAGAAACACTTGCTGCTTTGTAGGGTTTGAAGAAGGAGAAAACTTGCAAGAGGGAAGATAAAGAGAGGAAAAGAAAATGAGTTACTCGGATGCCTGAAATGAATCCCTAGCAGGCTGCCTCATGTAGTATGGGAGCTGCTTGCCTTTTTCATTCTCTTTGCTGAAAACTGTTATTTTGGTGTCAGGTATGTGCGATTCTAATTGTGGAAAATCTGGGGGACCATGGTGGTACTATATTATGAACCGTTGGATTATTGTCGATATGATCATCCAAGGATCTAGATGAGCCCTTTGCTGCTATTAGTGCAGATAAAAAAACTAACCAGAACTACACTTCCTGTTCCCGCCCAAATGGAAGAGATTAGTTATATGATCACTGTTTCCTTTTCTCACTAAATCATTGGCAGCTGAACACAGAGAAATGGAACTGAAGAAACAAATAAAGCAAAGCAAACTGATATCATGCATCCTCAGTCCATATGAAGCATTAACAAGTTTTCTGCCCTGGTGCAAAATTTCCACACAAGCAAAGCCAAAAAAAGCACCAGTGTGACACAACAAACAACAGGCAGAATCTAAAATTAAACACATTCTCTCACAATTGTGACTTTCAGGATCACATTAGGCCACCTGCGAATGCACTCGAAGACACAAAAGTTCCCCGGCTCGACCAAATTCTCTTTCGCAAACCTTAGCCAGCCACCTGCAAACTTAACATACTTGTTCTGCTTCCTAACCACTGCAACAGACCAAGTTTCATCCCTAACCTGGAGCTCAACCACCTTCTCATTCTGTGGAATGTGCCTAGATGAAAAGCTCTGTGGCACATGCTGCAAAAAAAAAAAAAAAACCCAAAAATTAGCCACATGGGTATGAATACCACAAAACACAACCGGCCAAGCTTATGCAATTCAATTGAAGAAGTACCAGAAGCCTCTTTTTTTTCAGCATACTCGTAGTGATTTGGACTTCAAAGAACGGATGTGGTGAGGTGAATCCGGTGATAGCTCTACATTGCCTCGCGCACGAGGGCATCCTCTTAGACTCGCCATCTTGTTCATCATCAGCTTCAGAATATGCATCATCCCGGCATCATGAAACCCAACAAAAACAACATGAGAAGAGTCCTAATTCCGATGTCGGAAGAAACAACAGCAGCAACAACAACAAATACGTTAAAACTTAAACCCTCTTACAACCATCAGCCTGGGATACAATCCGTGTCCAAGATCCCATTTCTGCAGCATTCTCAGCCGAAATACTACCCCTCATCCTCTTCTTCTTGTTCTTAGCTTGACGCGGAGAAACCTCACTCAAGGGTTTAGACTTCTTTCTTATGCGTGTATCAAAGGAATCCTCAATTTCTTCCACATTTGGTTCAGAAGTTGTAGGAATTGGGTAGGCAATCTCAGCTGCGGTCTTATCACATATAACCACAGAGAACCTGGAGCAACCCTCATACTCAAAAACCAGAAAATGCCCAAATTCCAAAGAGTGGAACTCTGCGAATTCCTGCCATCCATTGCTGAACCAGACCCCGATTTCGTCCCTAACCACATCCACCGCCCATGTTGCGCCACTTGGGACCTTCAAAATAGCGGATTCCGGCAAGCACTCGCCGCAATTTCGGACGAATTCACCAGGAATCAACTGCAAAGTTTAGCATGCAAGTGAACAAAACGAAGCTGGCAAAATCAATTTTGGTTAAATAGGTGGAACTTATTGAAGGGTTGGTTATCCTTACGAGCTTTCTGTCACAAAGTGTGCTCTGAAGGATGATTTTGAAGAACCGGGTTCCGGCCACCAAGGGGCTGCCGTTGCCGTCGCGTCTCCGGTCGCCGGTAAGAGCCATCTGATCACTCTGCATGCACAGCAATAGTGTTAAGTGCGGTCATACTTATACAAGTGATGGATGGGTTAATTGCATGGTAGGTCACTGATATTACAAAAAACGTTAATGTTTGGTCACTGAAAATATTTAAATACAATCTTGGTCACTCAAATAAGTTAAACGGTTCAAATTTGGTCACTCTCCGTTACCTTCCGTTAGTTTCTGTTAACATCGTCAGTTATTTGCTGACGTGGCTAACAGAAGTGATGATTCACCCAATTTAAATTTAAAAAAAAAAAACTCAACCCATACAATCAGCAAAACCCGCCACATTAGTTACCCACCCAAACCCGTGACCCAAGTACCCAACCCTTCGACTCCACCCTAATTCCTCAACTTCCTCATCTCAATCGATCGCCCCCGCTTCCCGTCGCAACTCATCCGCTCGTACATCCGAGGTCGACGGTCATCCAATTGGTACATCCGAGGTTGGAGTTCACCAAGGACAACTACCAAAAAGGAAACGAAATCTAGATTGCTTCCTGAGTTCCTGTGGTTGTGGTTGCTGCGTTCAAGCTAGCCAACCCAAAACAGAATGGAAATTCAGCAAGGGGAGAGACAGAGAGAAAGAGAGGCACCTGGGATTGGAAGCGCGTGTCTTGGTGTACAGACCTGAAGATTCGCAGCAGCTGAGCGCAAACCATTACAGGCTCTTCTTCTAATCCTCCCCTTCCGCCAGTGATTCCTTCTTCTTCCTCACTCCCCCGACTCCCAGCCGCCAACATCGTCGAGGAAAAGATATTCTTCGCCCAAGCAGCTTCAACCCCAACCAAATTCGCCCATCCTTCCGGCACGATTCCGCCTGCCAAAATGCTAAGTAACCTACCCGGCTGCTGCCCGCCCCACTGATCTCCGCCGCGAATCCAACCTTTTCGCCCCACAACTCCTTAAGCAGAGGGGTGGAGGCCAGGAAGTAGGCCGTCATCTCGCCGTCTCGAACCTGCGCTCGTTAGATTGGCCACGATGATGAATTCATGATGTTATGCGAAGGAAGAAGAATAGGAGAGGGAGGAGAAGAGGGAAACCGACGGATTGGACGAGGACAACGGTAATAGCTTCTTGCGGTACTCTTCTGACTTCTCCATCGGCTGCTGAGGGATTTTGCAGATTGGTTAATTTTGGGTTTGAATTTGGGGTGGGTTGGATTATGGGTTAATAGGTCGGGTCACACTGGTTAGGTTGTTATGATGTGGCAGGTTTTTTATGACGTGGCAGGATTGGATTTTATTTTATTTTTATTAAAAATAGGTGAATAGGTGAGTCTGTTAGCCACGTCAGCAAATAACTGACGGTGTTAACAGAAACTAACGGAAGGTAACGGAGAGTGACCAAACTTGAACCATTTAACTAATTTGAATGACCAAGATTGGATTTAAATATTTTCAATGACCAAATATGAACGGTTTTTGTAATCTCAGTGACCAACCATGCAATTAATCCAGTGATGGATGGTCAGCCCAGTTTTTTATTTGTTCAAGTTAGTCAAAGGAACGTAAACATCCCCTCCACTAGGCTGTTAATGAGCCGAGTCGAGCCGAGCTTTGCCATAGTTTGGGCTCGACTCGTTAATATATTTCTAGGCTCGAGCTCGGCTCGTTTATAAAAATGAAAGCTCGAGTTCGGCTCGACTCGTCAAATAAGTTTAACGAGTCTTCAACTCATAAAATGTTTATGATAGCTCAAGATTGACCTAGAACTACGCACAAAATTACATTCAAACCTGTAGCAAAGTCTAGCAAAGTAAATATTTAATTTCATTCGTTGTCACTAAGATTAGTTCAACAGTTCAATTTTGGTCACTCTCCGTTAGTCTCCGTTAATTTTTGCTGATGTGGCAGTCAACCTTCATAGTTGACCGTTAAATAAATGACGTGGCTATTAAAAAATAAATAAAAATATAATTTAATCTTTTAATTTTACACCTATTTTACCTCTGCTGCCAGCCTTCTCCCAAGCCGCCTCGCTCGATCCCTTTCCACCTGAAAGCGTTCCCCTGAAAAGTCCGACGAATAATTCGTCAACCCCCTCGACTACACCGGCGTCCTCCATAAGCTCTCGACAATCAATGGAAACTCCTTCGCCGACGTGGGCGACCGCGTTCCTCAGTAGCTCCACGCCTATGAGGTAGAGATCGTGTTTCGGTTACCGGTGAAACTGCACCGTCGGCGCTGATTGATGGCTGAGGCAATCGAGGCCCGGAGCTTTGGTCTCCGACGCGGAGGCGGATTGCTGCGGGTGATTCGTGGATGTTGATGAGTGTCGAGGTTTTTATTTACGGGGAATAGATTGTAGTACTAATCCCCAATCGTGAACATACTGTTCCACGAAACAAGTGACCCGAATCCAAGGATCCAACAAACAAAGCTTTGAACCTCCCCTGAATAAACACCAAAAAGAAAAGAAATCCCATGTTCAAAATTTACAGACCCTTTTGAGCTGAAGAAGAGAAAATAAAGTTAAATGTTAAAAACAAGCCTCGAGCCTGGCTGACTCTCCGCCATCTCCTCCTCTATTGGGAACACCCACAACTATCTCCGAAATCGTCAATCCCATCCTCCTCCGCCTCCTCTCACCGTTGCATCTTCCGCCGCCGAATCCTCGCTCCGACGGCCGCGAACGATGCAGCCGAACGCGGGACAGATTGAGATTCGCAGGAATTTCCCATCTCCTCCCCCGCCGTCAAATTTCCCCTTTCTGATACAACTGTAGCTGCTGGATTGATCCTTCTACTTCCAGTAGAGGTAGACGGTTAAGATTCCAAAAAATGCCTACTCCGGCAGCATCGGCTATAGAGATGAGAATTATAACACCAGAGCTCAATCCTCCCTTTTTCAAGCCCTCGCCCAGGGAATCGTTGTTGCAGGGATTTTTATTATTATTTTTTTTGTGCAAATTTATTTTTTAATGAATGTGTAATGAGATGGAAATTTAGATATATTATTTTTAATTTTTTAAATATTTTTTAAATTGTCATGTCACTTATTTAACGGTCAATTATGAAGGTTGACTGCCACATAAGCAAAAGTTAACGGAGACTAACGAAGAGTGACCAAACTTGAACTATTGAACTAATTTTAGTGACCATGAATGGAATTTAATATTTGTAGTGACCAAACGTGAATGTTTTTAGTAAACCCAGTGACCAACCTTATAATTTACCCAAGTAAAACACAATATTTACCCAATTTCAATACATAAAATCCATGAATTCTAATCCTTTTTTTATGCCAAACCATTAAATGAGCTTGTTCGCGAGCTTTCGAGCTTAACATGGTATGGCTCGAGTTTGGCTCGTTTAGTTAACGAGCTTGTTCGCGAGCCGACTCGATTAAAACGAATCGAGTGTCGAACGAGTTTTTATCGAGTCGCACACCGAGCCGTTCATGAGCGGCTTGGTTCATTAACAACCCTACCCCCGCCCCATTTTCTATAAACGAACATATGCGCGCCAAACCGGTGGGGGTTTATATCATTGCATTAGCTTAGCAAGTGAAATGGTTCGATCGATCGTATACTCAATTGTATCGTTTCATTTCGAATGAATAAAACATGTAGAAATGTGAAAAGTAATTAATATCAAATGAATTTAATAATATATAAACAATATTTGAAAATAATTAACTCCCAATTCATACTCATATTTAGATAAAATGTGTCACATAAAATAACAAATACTCATATTAAATACAACATTTAACTTCAATACCTAAACGTTTATATTTGAATCCAAAAAATATCATCAATATTTAATATCTAAACTCATAAAAAATAATTTAATTAAATTTATTAAAATAATGTCATTTTACTTAGAGGTCATAAATCAATCATGTCGGTCATACCGGTGGTGTTCATGCCGGTTTCATGACCGGCATCGATTGAACCAGGTTCAACCGACCGGCTTGCCACTGGCGTGACAACCATGGTTTCTATCTCTTCTCACAACATTGAACTTGGCCACCACCGCCGAGAGTCGCCGCCCCTCATGTTCGGCTATAGCGGTGGCCCCAGAATCGAGGGCCACTTGGCGTTCCAATCCAGTTCCAACAATGCACTTCTTGGACCGAGAAAGCGGAACTGCTTGACGCTTCTCGTCATAATTCTTTAAAGTCTTCCTCGCTGAAAACAAATCCAGCCAACTCGTACGTACTTCTCACAACATTAAACATGGTCGCCGATTCTCATTAGAATTTGTAACAATTGGTCATTGATTGTAAATAAATAGAAGTTGGGTATTAAACTGTTAAAGTGAAATTACAAACCTTGTGGGTCTAAATGTAATTGACCAGGATGGGTAGAAGTACACGCGTCCTGGATGAATAACATATTTTCCCTCCTCTTGCTCTTGCTCTTTCTCTCCCTCTTCTCTCTATTGCTTTCCCATTTTCTCTTCTTTGTGCAACTCGAGCATTGGACGAGCAATCTTCATCACCGCCATTTCCAATTTGTGAGTCGAATTTGGATCCATCGAACTGGGACATTGCAAAGTGGTATCAGAGCTGACGGTTGTCCCTCGACAAGATGGTGACATTGCAAACAAAAGAGCATCTGGTTTCACTTACGAATCGCACAACAATGGTGGAAACGAGACTGGAGGAGATCAACACACACATGAGGACACACACAATTGCCATGGATGAACACAAATGGCTACTGGTCAAAGATTATGAAGAAATTATGTTCAATTACACGATTTAGCTACCAGTGTTGAAGGTTAATCGCTTCAGCTGGCGAACAACACAAGTTATCTCGACGACTTTGATGATCGATTCGACGAAGTCTTGATGGCTCATTCTAACTACAACATCCCAGTCGACGGCCAAGTATAACCGATGACCGGGTGTAGCATAGGGAAAGCAAGCAATAAGAATTTATCGTAACACGAGGATTTAGGCTTATCATACTTCAGGTTTAGGGTTCGTTATCTAGCCAACCTAGGATAGTGATTGATAGAATTAAACTAACTAACCTTCACTAACCACTAACCCAGCTATTTAACAGGTGGGAGCTCTCTTGGGTGGAATCGTCCTAGATTTGTCTTTTGGATCGATGTTGGGTATCGTCCTAGCTCGATAGACTCAAATACACAACCGTTTGGAGATGGACTCCCTCGGGAATGACCCAGAACGACGAATCAATGGATGGGTAGTGCTCTATTCAACCTAGGGTTTCGTATAATGCTAGGAGATCGGTCGAATCAACTCCCTCGGGGACTACCCGGACAATATACGATAGGAGTGACCCGAAGACGCCAAAAGGGGGCTCTAAGGGGATTATCTCCCTCCTAGGTCAAAAGCTCAATACATGAAAATGGAACCCCAACTCATGTCATTCATGAAAACATCCATCAATTAAGTAAAATCATCAATCAATCATGGAGCTTGTCACATACATCAACATTGAACCCAAATCTAGACCTAGGGTTCTTAAACCCAAGAGAAGAGGGTGAGTTTCTAGAGAGAGATGAGAGATTACAAAGAAACCTATAGATCTTCCTTTTCTTTTTCTAGGCTTGATTCCTAGCTTCCAAACTTGATCAATGCCTTCAATTAAGCCCCAAGATCACTTCCTCTCTCACTAGAACTCCCCTTTGGTATATTGGATTGAAATCCTAGAGATAGAAAGTGTTCTTTCTCCCAAAACCAACTCCCCTTTCTCTCTCCCCATTGTTGTCTTTATATTTGCCCGAAAGTGACCAGTTCATGGCCGCGTTGGCCAGTTCACGGCCGTGAACACCTAAACGCGTCCGTGAACTCAGTGTCGTCTTCAAAATGCACCGCTTCACTCTCTTGGGTTCACGGTTTTTGCTCCAAGTTCACGGGCTTAGAGACCGTGAACTCCCTTGGCGCCAGTAACTTCTGGAACCTCGTTGGACGCCTCGATGTTCATGGTTACGGGGCAATTGTCGCGATCTTTCACTTTTTGGCACTTTTCGACCTCCAATCGACCCAAAACTCGTCCTCGACCTTCCCACACGTGCTAGGACCTGAAATGTATCAAAACAAGCACAATCTATCGTGAAATATATCGAGGGACGATGAAATGCAAAGCCAAACTATCAAGGTATGAGGGTTAAAATGTGTATAATTGAACCCGAATCACTTGCATTGATTATACTTTATCGTTCAACCTCTCCCACGTTGGTCGTTGCTGGTGCGGGAGGTCCACTGGTGGACCGGAATGAAAACCGAGGGATT